AAAAGATATGCTTAAAAGATTGACAAAGTTTAATCCTGAATGAAAGGTTGCGAGTTAGGCGGTGGTCCAAATAGCCATTTTTCATGCTCCTCGAGTCCAAATCACCTCTTTAGTATCTCGTGGACCTTCAATACTTCTCGACAACTCCCAAATTTGTTTCAAATCGTCCCGAATAATTCTCCAATGCTAAGCTCAATTCCCCGATTTGAACTCTAAAAACACCAATTGCAAATCAGAACATGGTAAATTATGACTAAGTTAATTAGGCGCTATATGACACACTTATGTTAGAAAATTGGTAAAATCAATCTCAACATGCGTCAAATGGTGTTGAAAAATTGGTAATCCAACAAGTTTATGAGTTGGGATGATGTAAGCTCACTGTTACCAAATCCAAAATTATCTATATAGTGGCTTTGGAATATATCGCCCATCGCCCCATTTATAAGATACATTTTTACTCTGGTTTATCCAAAAAATATGAACTCTTTTTAAAATTGAAATTCACTAATTTTTACTACCTCCGTCTCATTTTATGTGTCTTAGTTTGACTTGACACAATTATTAATGAAGTGGTTGAAAAAGTAAAAGTTGTGGTTAATATTTGAGTATAATAAAGTGAAATGGTGCAGACCACATATTTCTTTCCAAAAAAAGGATATAAGACGCTTATTTTGGGACAACCCAAAAAGAAAAATAGGACATGTAAAATGAGACGGAGAGAGTACTGTCTTATATCTATCATTCACACTACTTTTTTTTTATCGTCAAACGGAAGGTATATTACTCCAACTTGTCGTTAGCCAAATGACTATGAATACAAGAGGGTATAGATGTGTAAACAACTCTTTGATATGGTAAATCTACATGAGCTCGAGCTAACGTATGAGCCACACGCGATTTGCAAATCGTTTACAATGAGAAATACTAAAATTTCTTTTAACTTCAAACAACTCTCTAATATCATCCAAGATCAGGTGAAGATAGGAGCAACCCGATTTGCGTTTCACCCCATTTACCACAGCGAGAGCATCTGTTTCGACTTCTACATTTTGCCAACCTTCTTCAGCCATCTGCTGCACCGCATCCCGAAGACCCCGCACCTCGGTTTCTTCAGCCGTCCAATCTGCCTCATACGAAGCTCCTCTGGCTTTTATAAATTCTCCGTTTGAGTCTCGGGCAACCCATCCCCAAGCCCTAATCCGTCCACCTTGATTAACCGCTCCGTCAACATTAATCTTCACAGAACCATCCTTCGGCCGACTCCATTTGACCGCTACTGGTGACCTCTGTTCTGCCACTCTGCCAGCTTATATCATTCACAGTTTCACACTACTTGTGAATTCATTATTCATTTTTCTTTTTTTAAGATTAATACACTAAAAGAATTGAGAAATGCTTCGTGTACACGGCGTTTTACACGCCCGTGTACACGCTATAAAATAGGGCCCAATTTTTACCTTCTTTCATTTACCCTCTCCTTCTCTTTCCAGTTTCCACTCCAATTCCTCCCTCCTCTTCTTCTCTTATGCTAACCCTCTCCCCTGTTGTCTCTATCGTTTTTCCCCTTCTTCTTTCCCTAGGGTTCTTTCTCTTTTCTTTCTCTTGGACTCCCTATCTCAAAACGGCAAGCTCATCCCCTGTTCCGCCTCATTATCGGAGAATCACATGGTATTAAATCTCTTCTATTTCTCTATTGTAAATTTACAGTTTCGAATTTGGATTTTGCATATGAAGTGAAAGGATTTCTGACGTTTCTTTAATTTTTAATTATACTTTTATGCTTACAATTTGACGTTCCTTTTTTTTAATTTTATTTATACAAAATATGTTGTGGTGATGTTGATGAATGTTTATTATAATATAATATTAGTATGGATTTGTTATAATTTAAAATTTTATTCAACCATTATAGCTCACTTTTATGCCTATTAAGTGTTTGTTGAAATGCTTCAATGAGATGTAACTATGTATAATTGATTTTTAGCTTTAATTCAGCTTATGATTTTACTGAGATGTCTGTGTAGTGTGTTGTTATATGTCTTTGCATTTTTTAGTTGTCTGTGCGTTTTACCTGAGACGTCTGTGTAGTTTGTTGTTATACGTTTGTGGATTTTATAGTTATCTTTATGGTTTTCCTGAGACGTCTGTGTAGTGTGTTGTTATATGTTTATGCATTTTTTAGTTGTCTGTGTGTTTTACCTGAGACGTCTGTGTAGTTTGTTGTTATACGTTTGTGGATTTTATAGTTGTCTTTATGGTTTTCCTGAGACGTCTGTGTAGTGTGTTGTTATATTTTTATGCATTTTTTAGTTGTCTGATCGTTTTACCTGAGACGTCTGTGTAGTTTGTTATACGTTTGTGCTTTTTCGAAGTGTCTACGGAGACAATATTTTTGAACGTTTTTTGCAAATATGTTGTAAAGTATGCAAATGTATGCAATTGGGTCTGTTCTTGTGCACGTTCTTTAGGCTTATATAACTTTAAATATAGCATTATTATGTTTTTAGGCGGCACATATAAGCCTAAATGGATGCACATTCAGGTTTAATAGTTGTAATGATTTTTATTTTCTTGACAGGAACTATTTATGCTCTTTGCATGGCGGGGATAATGAACCTTCGATACATGTGTTTGATAAACCGAATGATGGCAGAAAAAGGATTGAGGAAGTCAAGAATGAGAGATTTTGAATACATGATAACTAAATATTTTATTCTTGTAACTAGCTATATTGTAAAATTAAGGTTCTTGTGTTTAGAATGATAGTGTAATTAAAGTTGCTAATGTCTACAATGTATGTTTTGTGTTATGAAAATGAAGTTGGATGTTTTGTGTTGGACACATATAATTGTCTATGTGTTTTCTTATTTTGTCTGTGTGTAATTGAAATATCATCTGTCATTGTTTATATTGTCTGTGCAAGATTAAAACATTGTCTGTTCGTTTGTTTTGTCTGTACATAGATAATAATCGTTGTCTGTGTATTTATATATTTCGTCTGTGTGCGATTAAAACATTGTCTATTCATGTATTTTGTCTGTTAGATGAAGAGTTTAGATGAATATGATATTACATGTCTGGTCACAAACAACATTTACTAGAATGGGTTAATGTTTTAAGTAGAATTGTCTGTCAACTAGACAAATGCGTCGGTCACATACAATAGCCATAGAAATGGGCTTATGTGGTAAGTGAAGTTGTCTGTGAACATGATATATAGTGTTTGGTTACAAATACACATATATTTTGCATGATTTACATTCATAATGAGAGTAAGATTACTAATTCACCTTTCATAATTCAACATTGTTTAAAAACACAATTTACTTCACCAATATTGAAAGTCGTTTTCTTTTTAACACGACAAAAACACACATCTTTGAGAATAAAATCACTCCAAATACAATATCATTCTAACTTTACTCCAAATACAATATCATCCCAAATGTAAAAACATTAAATTTACAATATATGTAATTACAAACATAAATCCTTTGTTATCCTTTGCTTTGAAGCTCTCATGCAAACATGTGAACACATGTTTCGAAGGTTCATTATCCCCGCCATGCAAAGAGCATAAATAGTTCATGTCAAGAAAATAAAAAACATTACAACTATTAAACCTGAATGTGCATCCATTTAGGCTTATATGTGCCGCCTAAAAACATAATAATGCTATATTTAAAGTTATATGAGCCTAAAGAACGTGCACAAGAACAGACACAATTCCATTCATTTGCATACATTTTACAACATATTTGCAAAAACGTTCAAAAATATTGTCTGTGTAGACACTTCAAAAAAGCACAAACGTATAACAACAAACTACACAGACGTCTCAGGTAAAACGCACAGACAACTAAAAAATGCATAAACATATAACAACACACTACACAGACGTCTCAAGAAAACCATGAAGACAACTATAAAATCCACAAACGTATAACAACAAACTACACAGACGTCTCAGGTAAAACGCACAGACAACTAAAAAATGCATAAACATATAACAACACACTACACAGACGTCTCAGGAAAACCATAAAGACAACTATAAAATCCACAAACGTATAACAACAAACTACACATACGTCTCAGGTAAAACGCACAGACAACTAAAAAATGCATAAACATATAACAACACACTACACAGACGTCTCAGGAAAATCATAAAGATAACTATAAAATCCACAAACGTATAACAACAAACTACACAGACGTCTCAGGTAAAACGCACAGACAACTAAAAAATGCACATACATATAACAACACACTACACAGACATCTCAGTAAAACCATAAGCTGAATTAAAACTAAAAATCAATTATACATAGTTACATCTCATTGAAGCATTTCAACAAACACTTAATAGGCATAAAAGTGAGCTATAATGGTTGAATAAAATTTTAAATTATAACAAATCCATACTAATATTATATTGTAATAAACATTCATCAACATCACCACAACATATTTTGTATAAATAAAATTAAAAAAGGAACGTCAAATAGAAGAGATTTAATACCATGTGATTCTCCGGTAATGAGGCGGAACAGGGGATGAGCTTGCCGTTTTGAGATAGGGAGTCCAAGAGAAAGAAAAGAGAAAGAACCAGAGGGAAAGAAGAAGGGGAAAATCGATAGAGACAACTGGGGAGAGGGTTAGCGTAAGAGAGGAAGAGGAGGGAGGAATTGGAGTGGAAACTGGAAAGAGAAGGAGAGGGTAAATGAAAGAAGGTAAAAATTGGGCCCTATTTTATAGCGTGTACACGGGCGTGTAAAACGCCGTGTACACGAGGAATTGGAGAATTGGAGGCGAGTGACTCGGACCAAACGGGACGCAAAGCCCCTAATTTAAAATCTCTATAGGATTTGGACCACACGCTCAAGGCTTCCTTCTTGTTTCCACCAAAATGCGGGACCCACCCTCTCTAACCGCAACCTTCCCTTTCTTTACCCACCACATGGCATTCCTCCCAGAAAACGTGAGTGGCATTCCCGTTATTTCCCTCTTCTTTCTGTCTCATTTCCTAAGAGGGTTCCTGTCTCTAAACCCCAATTCTCACCCTCCTTGGAAACCCTTTCTTTTCGGCGGCTCTCTCTGTTCTTAGTTCCTACTTTCCGGTTCTACAATTGCACTTCCGCCGCCGGCAATGGCCTTGTTCAGTCGCCTGAGGCTCGCCGCGCATCCGCTTGCTCGTGTTTCGTGTCCGAACCGGGGATATGGATCAGCTGCGGCGCTTCAGCTCGACTACGATTATTTCGAGGATGAAGAGGACCGCGCCGGAAATCTTTCGGCCCGTTTCCTCGAGGATTCTGATGGATCGTTTCCCGGTAGAGGAGTTCAGTGGGTGATTATAGGTGACCCGATGGCGAAGAGAAACGTCTATGCCGAGGGGCTCTCTAAGCTTCTGGATGTTCCCCATATTTCCATGGGCTCTCTCGTCCGACAAGAACTCAATCCACACTCTTCTCTGCACAAGCAGGTTTGTTTTTATTTACCTTGATCATTCCTACTTGAAATCGGATGATCTGTGAACTCTATCGATTCAGGGGAAGATAGCTCGAAGGAACAATTTCATTTTATTCTAACCATTTCAATCTATTGTTCAAACCTAAGTTTGAATTTCCAGACGTTTGCCTATTGTTTGATTAATCTTATTTGTTTTTCCTTCTGCAAATGATTTTTTTCTTTTCAGATAGCCAGTGCTGTGAATGAGGGGAAGCTAGTTCCAGCTCATGTAATTTTTAGGCTGTTGTCGAAGAGGCTGGAAGAAGGACACCGCAGGGGTGAAAGTGGTTTCATTTTGGATGGGATTCCTCGAACAAAGGCCCAAGCTGTAAGTATACTTCCCCCTTCTGCCTTTAAAATTAAAGGTGTTATCTGCCCTTATTTGAAACCATGACATGGTATGAAAGCTTGTAAGTTTCCATCTTGATTGTGTGGTTCTTCTGCAGGAGTTGCTGGACCAAGTCGTAGACATTGACTTGGTTTTGAATCTAAAGTGCATAGAGGATTCCACGGTGAAGAAAGGTGCAAGTGGTGGGATCTATTTGTGTAAAGAATTTCTCAGCATGTCCACCTCCTCCAAATTCAATCTCGGCCAAAAGCAAGAGAATGACAATTTGAACTTCTCTGATTATCCGGAAGCTGCTGGGAGGGAGAAGTTGCGTCTTTATGCAGAGCAGGTACCTTCCTTTTATGCTCTTTAAACGTTAATCGGTGATACCCAACTGTTATAGGTATATTACTTTTAGCTAGCCATGTTATATGTAGAGAGATCAGTTGTTGTTTTGACAGATCATTATGATCAACGCTCTAAGAGCGTCCTTTACAGTTCATTATGGCCTTTTAGCATTAGTTTCTTCAGGTTGGCAGTCTTCCGTAACTTACAGTATTGACAAATTTTCGTTTTTCCCGATCTTGTTTTATTGCTTTTAGAGCAAACCAGTGGAAGAACACTACAGGAAGCAGAGAAAGCTACTGGATTTCCAAGTGTCTGGAGCTCCAGGAGAAACATGGCAAGGCCTCCTGGCTGCTTTGCACCTTCAGCATATGAATGTTGTCACTTCATCATCTTCTACATCTCAGAAGTTGACTGCGTGATGCTGATCAGAATCGTTTCTTGCAGTAATCGGTATAGAAATATTAGAGCTGCAGATTTTTTGTGGGACCAACCAGTTTTGTTTGCCAAGTGTGTACAAGTAAGTAGTTATAGCGAAGAGCTACAGTAGATGATAAAAGTTGTGACATTGTTCAATCTTTCTCTCGATCCATCTTTGTGACATTTCATATTTTTGGTGAGTGATATGCTAAATGTTTTTACATTTGCTGAACTCTAATTGTATGAGCTCCTCTCTATCTCTCTCTCAATCACAAACATTCAAGGCCTAGCTATGTGAATTTTATAAGGAGTGTGTTACTATTTTATTTTCAGCCTTATCAGTGGCTACATTATTATTGTTATTGTTGTTATTATTATTGTTGTTATTTTTGTTATGGTTGTTATTATTATTATTGTTATTTTTGTTGTTGAGGTTGATTTTGACAGTAATGTACCCGAGAGCTCAACTATTATCAAGTTGAGCTTAAATGGAATGCTATTTTCTCACACTCAAACCAAAACTTAAGTATAGATGTGAGCGAAATCGAGTTTAATCTAGGTTCATTTCGTATAGCAATAATCGCAACTAAATTGATCTCTACTTTAGACAACCATTTATGCATCACTTAGGGATGGACTCGGCCCGGGGCGGCCCGACCCGGAACCGGCCCGGCCCGGTTACTGTTGAGCCCGGCCCGGCCCGGGAACCGGTGGGCCCAGCGGTTCGGGCCTATGTTTTGGTGAACCGGCCCGGCCGGTTCGGGCCGGTTTTTTTTTTTTTTTGATTTTTTTTTAAAATTTTGGGTTGAATTAGGTATTTTGGGCCATTTGAGGTGGTTTGAGATGGTTTGGGGTGGAGGGGGGAGGGGTAGGGGGTTAAATAAGAGAAGAAAAAAAAATTAAAAATCAGGGTGGCCCGGCCGGGCCCGGTCTGGTCCGGAACCGGACCCGGAACCGCCCACCACCGGTTCGGGCTCGGGCCTCATTTTTCTGAACCGAGGCCCGGCCGGGCCCAGGCCTGAACCGGGCCCGAACCGGCCCAAGGCCATCCCTAGCATCACTGATACAGATATTTGCCACACACCTTTATGAGTGCAGTTAAACAATGATAAGATTATACGAAAGATTGGGAATTTGGGAACAAACATTATACAATTATGAAGGTATGATTGTAAATAAAAAATATAATTATTTGCACCTATAGTGTTGATTCAAAGTATGAATATGTCTCATTTCCACTATAAGATTAAATCGTATCAAATTAATATTGTTAAATTCGTTTTGTTACATTATATCAAAATATCAACTTTTTGTACTACTAGTAGTATACTACGGAAGTACGGAGTATGATGAAGGTCGATGATAGACAAGTTGTAACTTGTAACCAGAAAGAAAAGATGTTAACATTTGATCGCAAAGTTTGTTTCTAGAATCTAACATATAAGCTTTAAGTAACGGAGTAAGTTCTAACTTTTGTTAGGGAAACTATTATTACCACTTAAGGTTTGGTCATAATTATCAATGCATTTTGCATTTTCAAAAATAAATTAATTACCTCCAAGTTTCGTTTTTTTACTACCCCATGTCAATATTGATCTAATTAAATTTAATAAACTATCAAAATCAATGAATATTGTTTTATTATATATATATATATATATATATATATATATATATATGTAGTATAAATGTATAATTGAAAGTCTAAACAATTGACTTATTCACCACCATATATATTGAGCATAAATGTTGATCATTAGTCAATCTATTATTCAATCTACTTAGCTTCTCGTGTAAGAAAGATTATTTAAAGTAATTTAGACAGGGAAACCACAAATATTACTCATGAGTTATGAGATACACAAATAAAATTTGCTGCAACCTTTAATTTTTTTAGCATTTCCCTTTCATCAATACAAGTCCTATTCTTAAGTCATACTACGTACAATTCAACAATGTGACTCCACTAGTAACAAATAAGAAAAATGAGCAACAATTATGACATACGGAGTATATTCATGATGATGAATTATTTGAATTTTAATAACATTTATTTGAGACAATTTTCACTAAATTTAATATGTGAAGTTAAACAAGACTAATGTTGATTAAGGGGTAAACAATTAGAATAACCAAAATTCGAGGAGTAATCGATTGACTTTTATTGTATTTGCATAAGATTTAAATAAACACGATTCTTTTTTAGTATTTTAGATAGATATGATGAGACACATACTATACATCTTATGTACTGTAGTACGGACTACGGAGTATGTAATATTATACTCTTTCCGTCCTATATTAGTATGCAATATAAAATCTTTGACAAAAATGGAAAGATTTTTTTTAAGAAAAGGAATGAAAGATATTAATGATCAGATTTGTGCGTTGTCAAACGTGAAATGTTGACTGTTGTAATTAAAAAGGAACGGAGGAGATATAAAGCATTTCATTTTATTGTACTCATATTGTACTCATATTCAGTGGCGGAGCCACACTATGAGTTGTGGTGTCAATTGACACCACTCAACTTTCTTTTCTTTATATATAGGTATATATAATTTTTAAAAAAATTAAAATTGACACCACTGAAAAGAATAAAAATTGTTTAATATATGATAGACTAAAACATACACAAAGTAAAACAAATAGGAATGATTGTGTTTATTCTCTAAATAGGGATTATTTAGTTCTATCAAAAGAATAACATGATTAAAACTTCCAAAATAGGAGCGAATGAGTCCTATTTTGGGAATAAAACATTGATATTCCTATTTATAAATTTTATCTATGTTTTGATCATATTTAGAGAATTTTCTAAAAAAAACTATATACAAAGTATAAATATATAATCTTTCAAAAATTAAAAGTTGACACAACCATTTAAAAAATGGAGGTCAATGTATATATTTTAAATGTTGGAACACTAACTTAAAAATAATTGGTGTACAATTTTACTTATTACTAGTTTACTACTACCTCTATCCCAATTTATGTGCAGTGTCTTGTTTTGGTTTGACACAATTATAATAAAATGATTGAAAAATAATAATGTTAATCAAGTTTGAGTATAATAAAATGAAACGTTATAGACCACATATTTTTTTAAAAAAAAAAGAAACATGACACCTACTTTGGGATAATCTGAAACAACATTAAGACATGTGAAATGAGACCGACGATACTTTGCTAATGGGTTTATGCAGTCGGTCTGTTATGAAAACAGACAGGAATATTGTACCAAATGCTTTCATTTGGGACATTCTGTTGCTAAATGTCCCAAGAATCAGGGAACTACTCAGCCACATCATTTGCAAATCACAATGGGAGAGCAGCAGAAAGGAAATAAAATCACAGCCATTACTAAGGAGAAATGGGTGGCAAAGCCCCAACTTTTACAAATTACAAATAGAGATACAGCTCATGAAGTCAGTTGCCTGAAGGACTCTTTGCCCTCTACATCCAAACATGGACAACCTGATGCAAAAGAACCTGAGGCAGATCCTGAGATGATTGACATTCAAGATGACTCCGATACTGAAGAGGTGTATCACGATCCTGAGCCTGATCCTGTTAATCACAACAAGCAGAATTCGGGTAATAACAATGATATGATTTTGGATTTAGCTGGCATTAATACCAGTAAGTATGTTGGTGCAATTGTTGATGATTCAATACTGCAAACTATACATCATGAAATGGAATTTGATCATGAATTGGCATTCAAAGACTACTCATCAGATGGAGGTATGCCTAATAAAAGAGAAGACTTACAAACCTGGAAGGAAGCCCTACCTGACATCATTAAGAATGTGAACTTTGTTGTCAAGCAAAAGGAAAAACAATACTTAATAGCTGGCAATAATAGTTCTGCTGAAGATGGGGCAGATTTTATTATGGTTAGGAGAAAGGGATATAAAAAGAAGAAAGTAATCCCTGAGGTTCCTGCTCGTATCACCAGAAACACAGCTAAATAACTAGCCAATGCTGGAAGATCATTCGCACCAACTATAGCCAACAGGCTCTCACAGACTACTTCACCTAGTCTCAAATGAACTGTCTAATATGGAATCTAAGAGGGCTAGAAGGTGTTGCTTCTAGATTATTCTCTCTTATTCAGCAATGGCAGATACATTTACTGGTAGTTATTGAACCTATTGTGGCGAATAATAAAGCTGAGGTCTTTATGAGACAATTGGGCTATAATAAAGTACTTTTTTCGGAGGTGAATAAAATATGGATCTACTGGGATGAATCTATTATCAATATCACTCAGGTTGATTGGCATTCTCAGTACATTCATTTTAAAATCAGTTCTTATCTTTTCTCTGGATATTTCACAGCTGTGTATGGTAATCATAGTTACATTCAAAGGAGGTTTTTGTGGCAAAAGTTGACTGATTACTCAAAGTTGATTAAAGATGCTTGGATGGTGGGGGGAGACTTTAACTCTATTGCTTATCATTCTGAACATTTTGGTCAATCATTACCTCAGATGGTTAGTATGCTTAATTTTGCTAACTGTATATCCTCTTGTGATCTGATTGATCTTCCATTTGAGGGGACTAAATATACTTGGTCTGGAGTTAGGTCTAATGGGAGGCTTTGGAGGAGATTAGACAGAGTTCTTTTTAATAATCAGATCATTGATGAATATGATCATATTAAGGTCACTCATTTAAACAAGACTCCCTCTGATCACTCCCCAATTCTTCTTCAGTTATCAAATAAAGGTTTTTCTGGCCCTAAACCTTTTAAGTTTCAAAATATGTGGACTGCACATCCATCTTTTCTAAATTTGGTGGAAAAAAGTTGGAATTCTAATCAGTTTGGTAGAGGCATGCTTGGTCTGGTGTGTAAACTTAAAAGCCTGAAACATGATCTCAAAAAATGGAATCATGAAGTTTTTGGGAACATCTTCGAAGACATCAAAGGTTGTGAACAAGAGGTTCTGAATGCTGAAATGGCATATGAAAACAATCCATCCGAAGCTAATAGAACAAACTGGTCCTTAAAAAGAGCTCTACTAATTTCTAAATACAAATTGGAAAGGAAATTTTGGAAGCAGAAAGCTCATCTCAACTGGCTCAAGGATGGAGATTCAAATACTCACTTTTTCCATTCTTATGTTAAGATTAGAAATAGAAGGGAAATTAGCCTATCTCAATAAAGTCTATGATTGGTTCGAAGAACGTCTGGAGATTCAGGCGATTGCAGATGATATAACTAGTAAATATGTTCCTCCACATGTCAATATTTTTTATTGTTTAGGAGGAATTACGCTTACATGTTTTTTAGTACAAGTAGCTACCGGGTTTGCTATGACTTTTTACTATCGTCCGACCCTTACAGAGGCGTTTAGAAAGCAACAACTTTTCTCTATTCAAAATGCAGATGGAGTTATAGTAAACACACTACCTGATATAGGGGAAGCAGCTGTTCAATATTTCTCCAATCTTTACTCCCATGAACAAGAGGAAGACCCTGAAGAAATCCTGCAATACATTCCATCTATCTTAGATGAGACAGATAATAACTCTTTAATTGCTTTACCTGGTTCGGATGAGGTAAAAGAAGCTGTTTGGGGTCTTAATCAAAATGGAGCTGCAGGTCCGGATGGGTACAACGGCAAGTTTTTTAAGAAGTGTTGGCATATTGTGGGGGATGATGTTGTTAGTGCAGTACAAGATTTTTTCCTTGGAGTTCCTATTCTGAAAGGCCTTTCCAGCTCATTAATTGTCTTAGTTCCTAAGAAAGAAAGCCCTAACTCTTTTGCAGATTTTAGGCCTATTTGCCTTTCTAACTTTGTTAATAAGGTTTGCACCAAAGTTCTTGCCAATAGACTTGCTATTTTACTACCCAAATTAATATCTAATGAACAAGCTGGCTTTCTGAAGGGGAAGGATATTGCAGACCAGATCTTAATTGGCCAGGAAATGATTCATGCAATCAATAAGAAGATAAGGGGGTCAAACTTGGTTATTAAACTGGATATGGCAAAGGCTTTTGACAGGCTGTCATGGAAATTTCTATCAGGGGTGCTACAGAAATTTGGATTTTCTACACATTTCATACAGCTTGTTCTTAACAATTTACAAGCCACCTATCTGTCCATTATTATTAATGGTACTCCCCACGGCTTTTTCAGACCCTTGAGAGGGGTCAAACAGGGTGACCCTCTATCTCCCTTTCTTTTTATATTAGCTTCTGGGGCTTTTTCAAGAGGGTTAAATTGGCAGGTTGCTGAAGGATTGATTCAGCCTTACTGGTTGGGGAAATATGGTTTTCCTATTACTCATTTAGGCTATGCTGATGATTTACTTATCTTCATTAATGGAGGTTCCAGATCTATTCTTAATTTTAAAAATTTCCTCACCTTATATCAAGGGGCCACTGGACAAGCAGTGAATTTTGATAAAAGCTTATTTGTTTGTGGTAAACATGTTAATATCAGAAACCAGGCTATAAAAGATTTGTTGGGCATGCAGAAAGGCACTTTACCATTGAAGTACTTGGGAGCAAACCTTCACAAAGGGATCAACAGGTATCAGTTTTGCAATCATATCATTCACCAATTTGATTCTAAACTGACTACTTGGAAGCAAAAGAATTTGTCACAATCAGGAAGACTTATCTTGATTAAGCATGTGCTTGGTGCAATTCCCATGCATATACTAGCAGTTGATATTCTGCCACAAAGGATAAAAACTATATTAAACAAGAAAATGGCAAACTTCTTTTGGGGTACTTCAAATAACAGGCCAAGGTATCATTGGATAAAATGGGCTAAAATGTGCTATCCTAAAGAGGAAGGGGGACTGGATATTCGTGCCTTAAGTGATATTGAGAAGGCCTTCTCTTTAAAATTATGGTGGAAATGGAAATCTTCCTCAGGTTTTTGGTCATTATTTATACAGTCTAAATATCCGAGAGGGGAAAACATGATACCCAAATTAACCGATTCTCCAGTTTGGAGAAGATTGTGTTCCATTAATCAGATAGTTGTGCCCTTGGTTGACTCTTCCTCTCAGCAATTATCCTGGAAACAATCAAATGATGGACAATTTAGTTTCAAATCTGCATATCACAGCATTAGACACAATCTGGGATCAGCCTTTTCATATGTTCATATTTGGCATAATAGTCAACAGCCCAAGGTGCAATTATTTCAATGGAAACTTTTTAAAGGCATTCTTCCTATTTCTGATAAGCTCAACAGGTTTCAAATGGTGATTCAGCCGTCTATCTGCCCTCTATGCAGGAGGAATGGTGACTCCACCAATCATGTTTTCACTAGTTGCTCTTTCTCTAGTGCTATATGGGACTATTTTGATCACATAATGAATATTCCTACTTCTGCTCATGTTCAATCATTCAGGAACAAATTCTTTATGTGGTGGTTTGAAGCGGGAAGCAAATCTCTAATTGATACTTTTAGACACAATCTACCCGGGATAATAAGCTGGCACATATGGAAAACTTATACGGCTTTGATTTGGGGTTCTATGGACACTGCTCCTTCGTCTGAAAATTTAATCTGGCAAATTAAACTCTTCACTCAAAATTGGGTGCTAAGTTTAAATCCGGCTAAACTTACTGTTGACAAGGTTTTATATGATGAAGGACTTGTCCGTAAAACCTATCGGATTCCCCAGAAGTTTCTCAGACCAGTTCGTTGGATTAAACCTAAATTAGGATTTAAATTAAATGTTGATGCGACTTACATACCTGGAAAGGCTTCGGGAGGCGCAATCTTGAGGAATAACCATGGCCAGTTGATTAGTGCTATTTCCTTCCCTTTGGTTGCATCGTCCAGTCTGGAAGCGGAGCTTCTGGCTTTGATTGAAGCTACGAAGTGGGCACTGATGGAAGGTTTTCAGAGCTTCCAAGTTGAAACCGATGCTGAAGAGGTACTCGACTATGGGAGTGTTTGCATTTGATTAAAAAGAGTGCTTTTCAGTTTTTGGCTTAAAAAAAGTTAAAAAGAGTGTTTTCAAATGATAGCTTCTGCTTAAATTAATCACTTAAAAGCTAAAAGCTGGAAGCAGGTGGAAGGGTGTTTTAAACTGCTTTTCACTTTTTCTATTACACAAAAAGTACTTATTTTACCAAACACTACCAACTTTTACTTTTTCAGAATCACTTTTTCCTCAAACACTACCAACTTTTACTATTAATCACTTTTCCCAAAATCACTTTAAAAAATCACTTCTTTAAAGTTGAAGCAATTGCAAACACTCCCTATGTCTCAGGTAGGAAATATGGAAGATGGAAGAGTGAGATTGATGGCTTCAGGCAGATCTGTTTTAGGAAAGGAGTGCGGTTCAGACATATCCTGCGAGAAGGGAACGGGCCTGCACATTTACTTGCTGGCATTTCTCCAGCCCAGTTTACCTTATGGACTGATATACATCTCTTACCCAATCCGATTAAGGTTGCTATTAATTTAGATTTCTTTAATTTTCCTTCTTTTAGAGATTTATATTATTGTTGATTTAACAGATTAGGTCAGGTCTTGCCCCCCTAATCTGTTCTCGGGAAGGAATGTCTTCTTGGAGAGGTTTTGGTCTAGTCCCTCTCTCCTTTTGTACTCAATCACATTATGAATAAAATTCTGGCAAATGCTCCCGGCATTTGCCCCACTGGATGCAGTGGTTTGCCTTCCGGGTTAAAAAAAAAAAAGAGACCGACGATACTTTATTAGGAATATTACTATATTAGACAAGGTGTTATAATCTTCTTTGTTTAAAGTTTGAATCAATTGATCGACACTTGATAGAAAAAATGTATAATGTTTTTAAAATATGAAAATGTGACGTACACAATTTTGAATTAGCATTTCAATTTTATAAAGGGGAAATTTGACTTTGCACCATATGTTTTAGGCGATATTAGACTTTGCACCCCATATTCAAAATCATTAATATTTGCACCCGATTAGCTCAAAAATTGTGAAGGAGTGGGGTGCAAAGTCAAATGATTATATAGTGAAATAGAGTGCAAATATTAATGATTTTGAAAATGGTATGCAAAGTCCAATATCAACCAAAACATAGGTTACAAAGTCAAATTCTCCCTTTTATAAATGACATTTTTTATTATTTTGCTTTATAATATTTACACATTTTGATAGAATAATTATTTTCTCAATTGACACCACTGACTCTGGATCCTGGCTCTGCCACTGCTCATATTTCAATTATACTTTTACTTTTTCAATCAAATTATTTATTATTGTGTCAAATCAAAATGGAACATGTAAAATGGGAGGGAAGTAATACATTTAAAAAAATGCTTTTTTGCAGCAGAACCCTGCCTACAAATCTACTACGTGCAATCCTACACTTAAAAAGAAAAAAAATGAAAATTTTAGATGTTTCCCGTACAAGCTTGTGGCATTTTCTACGACCGTTTTGTCCTACTTCTAAGCGTACCTGGCAATCTTTTCCTCAATGGCAAAGCAGGATCTTTCGAATTCAAAAAAATACAGAGAGAACGAAGAGGAAGAGTGGGACACAGCCACAAAGGTAGACGAAAGAGAGGGTCAGTCTGCTCTTCTCCATCTCTTCTGCAAAGGTAGCTAGCAGGGAACATGCTCTACTCGCATGTTCTCCTCTCGAAGAAGGGGCATTTAGGGAATATTTGGATTGCTGCCCATTGCCATAAACGCCTCAATAAATCCCAAGTTATCCAGACCAACATCTCTCATTCAATAGGCAAGTCTTCGATTTCTATTGCTTCCCTTCTCACTTGATTTGTTTTCCAGTGTTTTCCCCTCATTTTCTTGTTTCTTTTCAGTCACATATCCGATGCTTAATTAGCGGTGTTTCTGGTCTGCTAGTTCACTGTGAAACAGAGTTTCGGTTTCTCCTTAAAGGATCGCTCTTTTCCGGAAATAGGCACTGTGGTGGCTGTTTTAGGAAAGAAGTGCAATTCGTCTTAAAATAAAACTAGGTTTTACTATTCTTAATGTTTTGAAACGGCTTATGGTTTATTTTGTTATCACTGAATAAAATGTCGGCATTTCCTTTATTTCTCTGCTAGCACTAGCATGTTTTGCACTTTTGCCAGTTGTTCTGTTTCATTATGCTTTATCTCAGAGCTTTTTCTTTGATCATTCAGATAAAATTCTGCTAGATGAAGTACCTGTAGTCACTTATAGGGTTTTGGGCCACCTTCTTGTGGGCATTGTAAGGATATATTCAAAGAAAGTTGAATATCTCTTCCATGATTGCCACAAGGTGCTGGCTGAGTTTGGTGATTTTTCAAATGGAAAAAGCCCAAAACCAATGTCCAGTGCGGCACACTCATCTCACTGCTCAATCTCTATCCCTGAGAGTTTTGAACTTGATGCTTTTGAGTTGGGAGTTCTGGATGATCAAGACAGATGCGGGTGAGCTATAAAGTTACCCTATAACAAGCATTGCGAGTTTTCCCTTTACTACAATTGCTTGAATTTGTGTTTTAACATTCTTCACCACCTTATGCTTGCATTCTTGGGTTTGCAGTGTTCATGTAAGACCAGATGAAGATATCATGCTTTCAGGTAATCTAAGTCTTTGCTATTATGTTATACTACTCATGGTTTAAAAAGGCGCTTAAGAGGCGGGTTTTGAGGCGCGCCTCAAGGTGAATCGTACTAGGTATCAGGGCTTAGGTTTTCATTTAATCCCTAAGAAGTCTTTTATTCATTTAAACCCCAAGTCCCTAACGTGTACTTTGTATTCATCTTTCAGTTTGGGTGATGATTTTGTGTGTGATATGTCTGTTCGTGTGTGATGTTTCTGTTTCTATGTTTGAGTTCTAATGACTTACTGGTACCAGCTCATATGTGTTTGTGTTTCACACTTTTTGGACTTATAATTATGGATATATCCTCTATAACTATAGGATATAACTATCTTTAGTTGTTTGATACTAATTTAACTATTTTAATTTTTATATGTCTATATATTGTGACTTGTGAGGCTTACACCTCGCCTCTTAGGAACAAACCACCTTGATACCAGAACCCGCCTTTTTAAACCTTGATACTACTTTCATTTACATAATTTAGCAATTCTGTTGACCAGATGCATGGAAGAGCGATGGCTTTAGGCTTGGCTTTTCTGAGAAGGTATTCAGTAGTACTCTGTGTTGTAGTCTTTCGTGAATTGAACAACTGTATTTCTTCATACAAAGTTGCCTGGGCTGAATCTGAATATCTAAAGTGTAATGTACTCCGTACTCCATAACAAAACATCTTTCTTATGCATACCTCCATTATTTTTTCAAATTTTCCCTCTCCGAGTAGAATTATGACTCCACTATATTAGGCTGTTTTAATTCATTTTGTCCTTATGGGATATAGTGGATATGTATTGCTGTATAGCTATTACTTCATTTCTCATGTTTTGTTCGATCAACATATTATTCATTTATTATATTTACATTGTTTATGATTTACAGATTAAATTATTATTTTTGTTGGATAGAACTTTAAGTGTAATTTTTGGATACATGTGTTTATTTGTTTCTACTTTCTACCGACCTTGAACTTCACCTATTTGACAATGGGTGTATTTTAAGAGGTAAATAGTATAAATTGAACTGATCAATCTCAGGGCTGCAATTAGAAAACACACTCCTGTAAAGTGTGAAGTTACATTGTATCCTTGGCATTTCATACTCTACACGGAGTATTATCATCACATTTTCTGTAGTAAGGTTAAAAAATGACACTTCGCTACAAGAAAGGGACCAAACATGGAAGTGTCTATAACTAGAGGATTGACTTCAGTGTTTATAATTAACTAGGGGTTTCAAAAGTATGATTTTTCAAAAATGCAAAAATGATTTGAGCTAGGGTAGTGTGCAGTTGCATCATTACTTTTTGAGACGAATGGGATATCAATAATTGTTTAAACGGTGGGATTTCCAAATCCCTAATCAGACATGATAAGAAAACACAGACTCAATATATAATTTATTATTTTGCAGTATCATGGTCAAGTAGAGATTTCTCGATCTCCAGCATATTCACCAAATCTCACTCCACTCAGAGAGTAAGTATTAGGTTCCATTCATGGCCGTGTACTTATATTAGTGATATTATTATCATTATTATTATTAGGCATAATGACATTTGCATGGTTGATGAGGATGAGTTCTTTTGTAGTTTAAGTTCAGCTTACTTTGCTGAGCGTGATGTCACTGGTGGCTCAACGAGTAATGAATCCATGGAAAAGCTTTGTTTGACAAGGATCTCTTTGGAAGAGCGATTAGAACCTCTGACTTTTGAAGGGATCAAGAGTAAAATGCAAAATGATCCGGAGGATTCTAATGAAACTCAAACTGGTGATGAGCAAACACCACATGTGGGCTCTGATATTTACAACCGTACAGAAATCAAGGATAACTGTCCATTTAGATTAGAAGATCGTTTGGAGCCTATGATAATTGATGACGAAGATGTTGACGAAGCCGCCTTTGCTCGGGAGCAAATAAAACATTCTGAGACCAACGTGCCTGTAAGTGACATGGAACTTCTTGATGAATCTTCATATAAAAAGCAGTCTGGGGACGTGGGACAGATTAATATGCCAGAAATGCCTTCCTCGAACAGCGGAGAACATCAATCTTCAGAAAATCACCAGGTCTCCCTATGTGTTGATGTGACCCCAGATTCTAAATGTCCTGGTAGGCATCCTGATTTAAAAATTTGATTGGCTCATAGTCCATACAAAATTTCCGATTTCATATCAGCCGGTCCCAAACTCTTTTGGGACTAAGGCTTGGTTGTTTTTATTGATTTGTTGTTTGTAAAATCCTACCATTTGGATAGATACCGTGGAAATGAAACTGATATGTGGAGTTGTTCTTCAATTACCTTACTTCAATTTATATATTTCATATTGTCAGTTGATATACTCTGGATAGTAGTTGACGCTATTGCCTCTTTATTTAGCCAATTCATCAATGGATGTGATGTCTGTTCGGACTCCAGCCACTAAGGAGCAACCGAGGGCTTTGAAGAAACGGAAGTGTTTATTTGATAATCCTTTTGTGATCTCTAATAAGTATGTAATCAAAACCTACTCTCTATATGACTATGTTGTTCTCCTTTACATACATTGAAACGGTAGTACTTTTGATGTGCTGATTGCAGTGATCCAAGGGCATGTTTGCATATTCAAATATATCTTTTCCAAAGTTCTACAAATCATGACACAGTCGAATTTCTGCTCAATCTTCCCGGGATTATTTATACTTACCTAGATAATGTTGTCTGCCTATGAAAAGATTATTATTTAAAGAGAAAACTGTCAAATAGGCCCTCGTAGTATGTCGGAAAAGTCAATTAAGCCCTCGTACTTTGAAAACACCCAATTAAACCCTTCAACTCTTAAAAAAACGCTCAATTAGGCGGATTAGCAGGTAACCAACCGGTTTCCCGGTTACTTGCATGTGTGGCGGTCTACATGGCGGTCTGTGTGGCAAATATTAAATTTTTTCGTTTTCTTTTCTCTTTCCCGATTGTCTGCTACATACCTCCCCTGTACTCCCATCTCCTTCAACCAATAAACCGTCTGCGCCACTAGACCTCTCCATCGTTCCTGTACTTCCAAGCTCCATTAATGGCTTATTGACATTAAAAATTGGCTTTCAACAACGTAAATCGATGGAACACTTTTTGCAAATGAAATCTAACCTAACCTAAAGGAGGTTCCAAGCATGATCCTCAAGGTTGAAATCGAGACCTTCAAAACTGGTTTGGAATGTGAGTAGAGCTCCCAAGCATCCATCAATGGCGAAAGAGAGCTCCAAAGATGAAGCCAGCGTTTAGGTTTTTAAGGAAGAAGCGTCCAAAATGCAATTTAAACCAGGAAAGAGTTAATTTGTTTGTCAGGAACAATATTTTAAGGTAATCTCTCAAATACTCCAGAAGCCAGCACAATAGTTGCTTATTAAAAGATGCAAATATTCATCTTGAAGCCATGCACAGGGATAACACACTTTCAGTATTCTTTCGTCCCAAAGTTCTTGCACCAAAGCTGGGAGGGAATGGGTCTGACTGGATGATGGGGTCTTTGCTCTAAGCCTCTAACTGAGCGGATTTCATCGTTATAGGAATGCAAACGAGAAAGATTCCAGCCATGGCAATAGCGGTATTGCGCTTCCAGTGCACGGGTCTGCAGTTAGGTCAGCCGGTCATGGTCCAGACCTTGGCCCGAAAGTCACCAGCTGCATCACGGTGTCCGTGGTCTCCTCCTCCACCCATGGGTTGAGAGCGTATAGATCACAGAGATGACTAAGGAAGAAGCATCCATTAATTGCATGAAGGAGATTCTCGAGGCTAGCAACGACGAGCCAGATTGGAACCAACCACGAATTGGGAAAGGGGAAGTCGACATCCAGATCTAGGCTGCTAGGAGTTCAGGGAAAAGGGAAATAAAAAGAGAAGGGGAAAGAAAAAGAGAAACAAAAAGAAAAAATAAATTGTTGCCACATGGCCCGCCATGTGGAAACCTGATGGTAACCTGCTAATCCGCCTAATTGAGCTTTTTTTTAGAGTTGAAGGGTTTAATTGGGTGTTTTTAAAGTACGGGGGCTTAATTGACTTTTTCAACATAGTACGAGGGCCTATTTGACAGTTTTCTCTTATTTAAATCCAAGCAGAAATAACTTAGCATGGGGGTGGCTTAGCTGCCATGCACTGTTGGGTTGTGTACGTTTTCATTCAGTTTTGTTCACATATCCATTCATGAAATTGCAGAGAGTATAAGTCTTGGCTGGATAACCCAGACGACTTGGTATGCAAAAGAAGAAAAGCTCCTCACAGTCCATTGTTTGCCTGGAAATATGAGAAGCTCTCCTCTCTTCCTGGAAGTCTTTTGGAGCCTCTGATTCCATGCAGTAAGTTCAGAGTTTTAATCTAATTTATTTTTGTTTTTTATTATTTTTGTTCTTTTTAACTGTTTGAGCGCTTGTCAGGTGCTTTGGTGGACACTGGTATTTTAGTTCACAGGATGAAGGTGAATAAGACTGTGCCGGATGATGGTGTGGAAACACCTGAGATGAATGGTGGTACACCGCCAGTATCTCCAGCCTCCAAACATAGATCCCAGTGCGAGCAAACGCCAATTGCTCCTTCAACACCAGTAGCCATTTCAGTCCCATGTAGATTCCACGATGTACCAGTAAGTGAGGAACTGGACATAATGGAGCCTCCAACCTCAGTTAAAAGTATGTTGCAAAAGGTTGCATGTGAAACTGAGGATTTTGAGCTGGGTATTGATTTGATGGATGAGGTAAAACACGTTACATTCTATCTCTTTAGTAGCTTTATCCCTCATATATACAAGCATCACTTGCTGAATAATTAGTAAGGAAAGTTCTAGAATCAATGCATTTTAAACTAAACGATGTTTATTATGCATTCTAAAAACTTGTGGGAAGGCTAAAACATGCTAAGTGCTAACTGGTTCATTTTCAGGAAACAAGTTCAGCTCAAGGGGACATCCCAGAGAAATGTAAGGAAGGGTTCTCTTAAATGCTTTTTTGGAATTTCAGATGTCATTATTAGTCATAATAACATCAACCACTGTTTGTTCTCTTACATGTGCGTATGTGTGTCTTATCCTGTTTGCAGACAGATGTCATGCGAGAACAAGGTATACAATTGATAAGGACAGCCTTACTAATTTCCGGCATTTTTTGTTTTGTTGTAACAATCACTTCAATCAAATCTGTAGCTCAAGTAAGTGCTGGTCAAGATTTCTGACTCATTTTGGTTTCTCCCCTTACAGAAAGGTTGCAATGTTTCTGCTTAGACACTTTTCAGTTCGAAAAGGTGAAGCTGTTAAGTTGTCATGTGCACTTGAAGGAAAAACCAAAACAGAAAGCGCAAAAGTGTTCTTTGAGATACTGGTGTGTGTTAGTTTGGTCCATTTATTTATATTCACGTTTGTTTATTACGCCATGCCATGCCTCTTAATTACAAGATCTCTTCTGCTAATGGATTATAAGGCTAATAACATTCACTGCTAAAAAACAGCTCTTCATTTTGTTTTTAGCCTTTCAGGTACACATCTAGCCAGTGATCAAAGTTCACTCTTTCATTACTCACCTAAGAAAAATACTTGACCAAACATGTATTAATTATGATTGAGATGAGATATGAAATTCAGCAGCAACATGTATGTATCATTTGCAGGTTTTAAAAACAGGAGGTTGGATAGACGTGCGGCAGGATAATGAGTTGGGTGACATTTGTGTGCTTCAATCTCCCAAACTGAATCCAGACACTTTTGCAGCTTAGGAGGTAGTCAACAATATTTGGACCAGTTGATTCAATCTCTTCAGTTGATTCAATCTCTCTCACGTTAGGGAAGCAGCATAGGGTAGTGTAATAATAGAAGTAGTATTGTATCATTTGGTATATTTTCCGGCATACCAAAAGGGGAAAAAGAAAGTCGTTAGTATCTGTCCTTTTTGTATACTATTGTTACAATTAGTTGAATAATATATATAAGTCATCTAACTATATATTTACAAATCATGTGACTATTAAAGATATTCTCTTTATAAATTTATAACCACAATTATAAGTTCATAACCACATCTCTGATGTAATTTTTCATAGAAGACCTACTTCAATAATTCTGATTCAGATCAGTATGATAAGCATCCCAAATTCCCCACACCCGAAATTAAGTGTCCGGTTACTCCGGTATATTACAACCTAAAAAATTAAAATTTCTTAAAAACTACTAAAACAAAAATATGATAAGCAAGATTTATCTATAGTGAAGTTTCAAACAAAATGGAGCATTGGACGATAATATAATATAATTGGGGTGGGATTCCATAATACTGATTTGATGATTAGAAACACGAGAAGTTGTTGGACAAAAAATGAACCACTACTACAAATTAGCCAAGAAAATAAAAAAATATTTCTCTCCGTCACATTTTAGCTGTTTTATTTTTCAAATATGTGGTCTATAACATTTTAGTTTATTATATTCAAATCTTAATTACAATTTTTATTTTTTCAGCAACTTTATTATTATTATTAGCAAAACCAAAATAAGACTCATAAAATGAAAGGAAGTGGTAATAGATGGTAGAAATGTCGGCATCTTTTGAGTGAGAGGGGAGTTGAGCCGTTGAGGCATTGTAGGGAAAAGAGGAAGCATATGGCATTAGGACCCATATATATTTTTCCTTATAGATTTGTAAACAATATGAGCAATGTGAGATCTTTAACTATATTTTCTTCACATATTAAATTAAATTAAAAAATTTGATTAAGATATATGGAAACTATATTCAAGTGCATGTGATCGAACAATAATTAGACTTGCATTATTATATGTAAACTGTTGGATGATGAAACAATATCACATTCAAGGTGTGCATGTTGCGTAAGATGTGTGAAAAGAGAAAGTGGCTCAAATAGACATGAATTAGAGTGGTCAAGAATGATATAATTCTTGAGTTAGATGAGGATTATTACATTTGAATGATTGATTTGTTTTTATTCGACTCCCTTTTCTCAATTTATTCATTTTAACTATGATTTCACACGTCGCATGTTAGGGGACTCCAAATTCATTTGGAACTAACATTTAGCTAAACATATCCCATAAAGCCTTTCAAATTCATTTACATACATAATCTATTGAATTTCGAAATGATTTTATCAAATTTTATAATTCCCATGCTCGAGAACTCAATAACTTGAAAGTATGTTTATGCGTGAAGTATAATTGAATACTTCCCTGATTACCAGAACCCTGAATCCTTTAAAACCCTTGAATGAGGTCATCAACTATAATATCTTTATATGTACACTGATCAAAACTTTATGATACAAAGTATCTCGAAAATAATGTTTAAAATGTTGGAAATAAGTGAAGGAAGATTTGGGAAATTGGGAGGCTAAATTAAAATATTATGGAAGAGATATTTGAACAAAAGGGAAGAACTCTTTTTATTATATAGAACAACTCAAATTGGCTTGATTTGCTTGATTGATACAAAGTGGTGATGGGTGGAGCTCTATTTATACTAGTACAAAAGTATCTAGACTCTTCTACAATTAATACATTCTGCATAATTCTACATCATTAATGATATGAAAATTCTAGAGACCATATCTTATAGAGAAGCTCTAGAATTCATTCCTTCTACACTTTTCTACTACTTGGGCCTTTCCAACAACAACTAAAATAAATATTAATTAGGCCCAAAGTATTAAAATAAAAACAAGTTAAATTTTCAACATAAAATCTATAAATACTTCGAGACTTACCATACAATTTTGCAATACCACTTAGACTTGCAAATCTAATTTATAATCCGTATAGCATACATCTGAGAGACAAATGGACGTATTAGTTGATCTAAAATGTGCAGATTTTATTTTTTTAATCTTGATAATTGAGCATGTCATATACAACTAAAAAAATTTACTGCGTACTAATGAAGTAAAAGGAAAATGTGTACAAATAATTAGCTATAATTAAGCAGTTGACTATAATATTATTAAAAATAATTAAACATTTGTTCCATCAGCCCCAAAATGTTTTTTTTTATATTTTATTTTATGCATTACAATTGTATGGGTATTACTTATACATAGAGAAGAATAAATCAGTATATAAACCGTACAATTCTCCAGTACATGAAAATAAAAAATAACTTATGTGATGACTCGTGAAAGAAAGTGGAAGAATATTTTAGCACTGTTGTCGGTTTAATGGAATGAATAGTGTAAAATCGTGAATGGTTTTATGTTACTCCGTATTTGGCAAAATATACGATACAGCCGGCTTACCATGAGCATGGTAAACTGACAATTTTGTAATTAAATTCAATTCAAAGGGTAATAGTTAAGTTAGTTCCCTACTGTAGTATTGCTGCTCGTTCGTTTTCTTTTCCGCGCATACCCGCTCCTTCGTTTTATTTCTTTCTTCTATCTTTCTTCTTCTCTTTGTTTCGTCGTCTTTTGTGCTTGTTGGTTTCACTTTTCATCTTTTGTCTTTTTGCTTTCATTTTCTTTACGTGTTGGATTTTTGTTTAACAATCCTTTTTTTTTTTTTTAATTCAACTATCATTAAAATGTATGGTATAAAATACTTCCTCCGTTCTCTAATAGATGGGAGTATAGAGTTTGACACAAGTTTTAAGAGGAAAATAATATGGGTAGTGTCAAAGGTGTAGTGAGGTGTGTTTGAATGAAAAAGTAGGAAAGTGAATGTAAAAGTAGGAAAGAGAATGAGGATATATAGGTATATTTAATGGAAAAACTTTCTAAAAATGGAAAAATGGACAAATATTAAAGAACACCCCAAAATAGAAAGTGAGACATCTATTAGAGAACGGAGGGAGTAATATTTAGTGTTTGAGTTTGTTTTTATTCTTTTTTCCAATCACCCTTCTAACTTGAGTTCTTTTTATTTAATTTGTGCATTATAAAATATTTTAGGCATTAATGTTTTGTTTTTCTACTACAGTAAAAAATTGTTTTGTTTTTCTACCGTAAAAAAATGTTTTGTTTTATTAGTTTATTAAATATTGTGTGTTATTGCTAGCATGAGTTTTGTGTTCTACTAAAATGAGTATAGTATAAAATAAATGTGCATGAATAAATATTATAAGAACAACACGATTATATTTGTAATTCAACAACAAAGACTGTAATTTATTTTTAATATAACATTTTTTATATTTCTCAATTTATATATAATGATAGTTTCTTAAATTGCTAATCATGAATCTAATAGATGTACATATTATAGAAAAGAGTATATGTTATATTTGAATGAGCATAGTGATTAAAAGAAATGACCATACACGAATGAATATTTGTACACATTAGATAATTCAATGCGCCTTTGCATTGTTTTATTCTCATTTTGTAAGTTACGTAAGCTCATTTGGAATTAGTTTTATGCTCATTTTAAAATGTCATATCAATATATGATTCAAAACTATCATATTACATTACATTAACATGAGAGTTAATTATAGACAGGAGAGTAAAGATCATCATACCCAATTGCACGATTCTAATAATCCATAGAGGTGGTTTGATGCTCAACTAATAGAACTTACTCCGTATTATTTTCAAATCAATGCCCATTATGTAAACCATATATGCTCATTTGATATTGATGTTATGCTCATTTTAAAATGTCATATCAATTCTTATTTGAAAGGTATTATATTTCATTAGATTTTAAAATGTATTAAAGTGTATTACTTGTATATTTCAACTAACCAAGCTTAAACTAAATTTATTTATCTCGTAATGGGTTAGTCTATGTTTCGCTTTAGGCTCTAAATATTCTATTGGACCGCGTTATAAAGCCCTATATCAGTTAACGTCCTATGCTTCCAAAAAAAACCAGGATAAAGAAGAGAAGAGAAAAGAAGAGAAGAGGAACTGAGGAAGGAGACGTAGTGGAAGAAAAGATGAATCTGAGCATCAGCTCTGTGGAATCGGTGTTGGCTCAAATCCAAGGCTTATCGAACAATGCCCAAGACCTCTCTCAACTTCACGCCTTTCTGAAACAGTCCGATGATCTGCTCCGCTCCGAGTCGACCCGCTTGCCTACTCTACTCTCCCAACTCAACCCTACTGAGCACTCTTTGGGCTACCTGTATATCCTGTAAGCCCCCTTTTCTGTCGTTGTCCCTGCTTCCCTCTTTTGATCGCAATTTACTGCTCAAAAGTCATACTGTAGCTATTTATCTGTGAAGTGAGGACGGAGATAGTTTGTATTTTTCATTTGTGAACTTTGAAATTCGTGCCTTTTATTTCCTTATTCTGAAGCTCTCCTTTTCATTCGTTATAAATGCGGAGTATAAAAGAAGTAAATTGTTCCCAACTTGGACACTTTCACTGTTTTGTGACTTATCTTTGAAATTTTCTGCGGTATGCTAATGCATGTCATTAATTTAAATCTTGCTAAAACAATATTGAACTAGTTCAATACGAGCAGTGATTTTGTACTGTGGTAGTCTTTTGTTCGGTAGCTTTTGTCATGAGTTTTGACTCGTTGTGTGTTTGTTATAAACAGAGATGCATCCATGTCTGCTCCAATTTCAACAGAACAAGCCCCTGAACTAGTTACTTGTGTGGCTAGATTTATTGATGAATGTGCTGCAGATCAAATCCTTCTGGCACCTGAGAAGTGTACTGAAATCATTCCTTAGCAATTTTTTTGGTTTCTGTCATTATCATTGCTGTTATTTTTACTCTTTTGGTTCGTTTTGCTTTATTTTTTACATTTTGCCAGTCATATCCGTTTGTAAAAGATTCAAGGATCAAGTTCTGCTACTTAAAGCTCCTCTACAAGGTGTGGGTCCCATGCGGACAGCCATTAAGAAACTACAGCTTTCGTCTGAGCAATTAACACCCTTGCATCCTGAATTTCTTCTTCTTTGTGTACTGGCGAAGTGTTATCGTATTGGGTTTTCTATTTTGGAGGATGACATATTTGAGGTCGATCAGCCAAAGGACTTTTTCCTATATTGCTACTATGGGTGA